TGGATGGATGGATGGATGGATAAAAGATGAGGTTTATGCCATTATTGTTAATGATTTTTCAAAAATGCTTCATTTTTTTGGTCCCAAGGAGCCATTCTAATCAACATAAACACCTATGCATGCTTACAAGTAACTGTTAGTTTAATTATTATATTTTAACTGGAATGCTTTATTGGTTATCCATAATCTAACTGCCATGCTGCCCAGTAGTACGAGTCTTATCTGGTCTGTGGTCCCAGCTCCTAGCCCTGCCTCCTGCTTCAGGGTGCACAGCCGCTCTTCAATCTCCGTCCATAATTTGCATATCAGAGACATTTGCTTGAGTTTTTTAACTGGGCACCTGCTGGTTGGGAGGAGTCCACAGAATGCCACCCTAAAGTTTTTCTTTGTTCCCAACATGGTAACTCCTGTGTCAGTACCCTCTTATACAAATGGGGGTGAATGTGTTGGTTTAAAACCAAATATGTCAATAAAAACAGATGCTGATTCCTCTTGAACCTTTTCCTGGGAACTTTTAAACATTTGTGCATGAAAGACCACTCATCTTTTGGGGGTTTGATCAATTCAGAGCTTCAGTGGCAGAAAATAAATGTAGACGTGCGCATTAAGCCCACTGGTTGTTTGGACTGCTTCATGTTTTAAGGGCAGTGAAACAGCCACAAAGGAAGACTGAGTCCCGCCGACAACTGGAAGGTCAATGGTTCCATCAACAGCTGCCCCGATCCACATTCTTTAGACATTTCAACATGTAGCCCCACGTCGGGTCTGATGTGCTCATCGGTGTGTGTATGGTAGAGAAGAGCCTTGTATAGTCTTGTAAGAAGAGCGTGTAATATGAGTGGTTAATGCTGTATGCTCAATAATCCAGGGAGATGAATCAAGCAAGGTTGAGTCAGGTTCTCTGGATGGATTTTTCTTGAAATGTTCCATCTTTTATCCAAAAGACTTCTTCAGTCTGAGGCACAAGCGCCTAACCGTCTGTCCGTCCATTATCTTCCACTTGATTCGAAGTCAGGTCTCGGGGGCAGCAGCTTGATCAGGGAGGTCCAGGCATCTCGTTCCACAGCCACCTCTTCCAGCTCTTCTGGGGGGACCCCAAGGTGTTCCCTGGACAACTGAGAGACATAGTCTCTCCAGCGTGTCCTGAGTCTTTCCCGGGGTCTCCTTCCAGTCGGACATGTCTGAACCACCTCAACTGGCTCCTCGATGTGGAGGAGCAGCGGTTCTACTCCGAGTCTCTCCCAGGGAACTGAACTTCTCACCCTGTCTCTAAGAGTCCAGCTACCCTGCAGAGGAAACTCATTTCAACCGCCTGCATCTGCGATCTCATTCTTTCGGTCGCTGCCCAGAGCTCATGACCATAGATGAGGGTAGGAGCGTAGACCGACCAGTAAACAGAGAGCTTTGCAAAGTTCCTAACCCTGTTAGATTAATGCTGTTTGGTTTGTCTAATGAGACTATTGCTCTTCTCAGTTACACGGTCACATTGTCGATGTCCATTTTTAGTAAGTTCTCTTTGTTGCACTAGGTGTTGCTTTTACTTTGCAATGAAGAGTAACAGTTCTGTCACTCCTTAGAAATCTTGAATTTTCTTTATTTTAACAAATGTACAACTTCAAATCATTGAGTGTACTTGGGTTTCTGACCAAATCAGTTAACTTGTCAAACATGTTTTGTCGTGCAGGGCACGGTTTATCGTGCAGGTGTGTTTACACGTTGGTTTTCTCAGAGGGCAACAGCCAAGGCGAAGAATTCAGCGGTGGAACATGGCCTTTGTAAAACAAATATGAAGTACATGCATAGTGGTGCTTTGATGCTGGTCGTTAACGTGGCAAGTCAGCCATTGTTTTTATTGTTCAGGATCTGTGCTGTTTGGACTAAAATGGGGCGTGTCTGCATCATATCCCCAGATACAATTATGGATCTGGAGCTGTATTTTAATAAAAACAACAACAACAAAAAACAAAGCTCTGTATTTTAATATGTCGTCAATGTAGACGCCCCCCCACACCACCTAGGCTAGAATAATTGTCCATCATTTATTATAATTATTTGTGTTAACTTTCTAATAAAATAATTGTCCAACACTAAGAAATGACAAGGTCAAGGTTTCTTTGTTGTCATTCACTTCATCTGTGGTACATGCGTGGAACGAAGTTGTGTACACAGGGTCCCAGTTACATCCAACAAAAGTATAAATTGTAAAGAAAAACAGTAATAAGTTCTAAGATATGAACTAAGAATACGCTAAACCCTAATGGTACAGAAACAATACGCTGAACAGCAGCAGCACGACAGACTGAAATTCTGGAGATATACTTGCACTAAAAGACGGACACTTGGGTATAACATTTCTTTTCTCACAGGATCCTCAGGAGCAAGTCGTTCATCACGTGCAGATTTGACGTGACATGACTCCCAGTCACTTTTAGTTTACGTAGGGGAGTTCCTCGTCAGTCTACAAAACAGATTTATCTTTTGCTTTTGTGTTCTCCATCCCGTCTTATTTTTCTCGTGCTAAAAGTTGGAGCATCTGCTTGCCTACATGGTGTAACAGTGCCACATATAGGCCTGGCATAGTTATTACAGCGTTTGGGGCATTTTATGTTTCCATGTGGATGAAAACATTTTGAGAAACTGGGACGAGGAAAAAGATTGTTTTGGGAAGACAGCGTTCCCAAGTGAACACTGTCAAAGTTGAGCTGAAAACCTGGAGCTATGTTTCAGACCCCCCGCCCACTACCACCTCTGCGGCCTGGACGTGGCTCGGAGGCTGTCGGTTGATTACAGCTGGAGTAAATAACTGAAGGTTGGCAGCATTTATTAGTCGTAAATAGCCTTTTTCTAGTCATGACAATTGAAACACCTCACACTGCAACCTACAGAGACGCATTCACTTCTTCTGTATTATACTTTATACAAAGGATGTTCTTCCATAAATACACCCATAAATATGTTTGGTTGTAAAACGTATCAGAATGATGAACCGTCTTTTTAAACCGTGCGTGCCCGACATCGAAAATGTAAAAAAATTCAGTGTTTCCCCTACCATTATACAAGTAGGGCGCACTGCCCTGCCTACCGGACCAAAGCGCCCGCCCTCCCCCCATCGACAACTGCTGGCACCGATGTAGCGCTAAGCTAGCGGCACGCAATACCACAATACAGACGTGCTAGCTGCAAAGCTAGGTAGCGTACCGCTTCCCTCACGCTGAGCCGTCTCCCAACCCCCCTGCTTGAAAACTGTCAGTTCAGTACTAACGCAGACGTGTCTCTGTCTCCACCGACTCAACACCCCCCAGTCGACAAAAATCACAGAACAGATGATCGCACCCTGCCAAGGCAAGTAACGTAGGGGTAACGGTGCAATCTGCTGGTTGTGGACAGCTGTGGATGAAGTGATTTAAAAGCATTTGTGCCAACATGATATTAAGGCTGCCCAGCCCATTGATTGAAATATTTGTATGTACTCGCAAGCACGTTTAAATAAAGTTCCTACAAAAAGTTTAACGAACTTTCAATGTGTTGCTCAAACAAGCTGCAGCACACTGGAAGGAAGTCTGGTTTGTATTGTGGACAAAGTCCTGTTCCTCATCGCTTTGTTTTGATAGGCCTATTCGGCTCCGAGGCCTGCTTTCTGTCAGAGCAAAAACATTTAAAGGTTCAGCAACTCAGCTGTAACGTTTGCGCAACTGATCTCCTTGGAAATCAACCGTTTCATTGAGATAAGCGAGGAATCGTGCTTCATGGCTCAGTCACTTCACTCGGGTTTGTAGGATACTTTAGCTACTCTCCTACTACCTTTTTATTTTTCATTTATTTCTTTGAATCTGTTCATAAACGAGAGCTTGAAGAATGTACTCATTTTCCCCCACGCTGTCGGTGATGCACAGAGACAGTGGTTTCAGCTGAGTCACATTGCTGACCAGTGAACATCTGGAGTCTCTATCTCACAAACAAAATGCCTGAGAAGTTCAACAGAGCTCTCGGTCGAGGGACTTCCTTTTGGCAAAGCTAGGATGTGATGCTATATTGAGCATTTCAAATGTACTGCGTGTGTGGAAAACGTTAA